AAAACCGCTAGGGTGGACCAGAGTTGCTATCCTTGGTGTCCGATTCTCGGCCTTTCTATAGTTTTGATCTGTTACGCTCTGAATCCAAGATTTGACCCATGCTACCAAGTTACCAAGAGCGCCGCCACACGTTAAGAATACTACTAGCCCTGGCCCCTTTCTTTGCGGCGTGCCGCACTTGATCAAGGGCAGCGGCAGCCAGAACGAGTCAGGCCGCCTAGCTTAGGATGTTGCCCGCCCCAAACCAAGATTGATCCCTATGGCGCTAGCACAGGACAAAATGCGGAGATTCTTATCTTAGCTTTAATGTCCCTCTCTTGAGACTCCGGGGAAATTTCCGGTAGTGGGAGTATTGGATCTACAGAGGAGATCAAGTGGACTTAAAGCTTCTGTAGATATTAGCATATAGGCCAAAGTAATTTCTGGAAGGCTAACCAGATTGGTGGAGACCTTAAACGCCACTCTGGAATAGGGCAAAGACTAATTATGCAAGCCCGGTAACTGTCCCGCTCTACCACCAAACGGCGCATCACAACCTACCAAGAACACGCCTCCCCCCACTTCCCTCTGTGTTCTCTCCTTCGTCCACATAGAATAAAACTTGCTATTGAAAACGTAGACTCTGGCGGATTATTCGTTCGGCAGCACGGAACTTCTATAGGTCGAACGCCTGGAAGCGCCCTTAGAGAAGACGAGCCAACCTAGGTTCTGCAGGCGTCATCTGCTGAGACTTACCAGAGATCCTTGAGCCTACATATACGTATGCCCAAAACTTAACATGTTGTCTTAGGTAACCAGAAAGAATGCAGCTTTAGAAATTCTGATATGTATACATATTCTCTTCGGTTCCCGCTATCAGCCATTCCCTTTCTGGCCTAGCCTTTTATGTCGGCATGGCTGAAATATGGCAACATCCCTCCTTGCACACCTTTGCACGCCACCGATCAAATGGCCGACTTACAGAAATCATATCAGCATATTGAGCATGCGTCGACGTGCCCATGCGTCACAGACCCGCAAGGTGCGAGGCTACCATAAAGACGCAACCAGCTGGCCTTGCTCACTGCCTTAGACGATTGTAACTGTTTCTACTCTGCACTATCCAAGACATCCGTCTTCCAACCCGCTACTTCTGAAGGGCCAAGTGATGCCACTGGTAATCTGGATGAGCTTGCCCTAGATCATATCCGTGATTTTGTCAGTCAGAAGCGCTTGCAGAGAGGCGAAAACGACACTCAATCTCCTCCATCATCGCCTTACCAACCTCTTGCCGATGGTGAGATACGCGTTCTGGAGCTGTCCCCTGGGGATTTCGAAGACCCTCTTCACGGAAACCTGCATACAGTCAACATTGACTTTTCACATCCATCGAGGGTTGAGCATACCGTGTATCCCTTTGACAACCCCGCAAACACGAGTAGAAGGACATTCACATATACGAGGCACACCAATCACGCAGTGTCCATAGCTACAGAAATTCCGGTATGGTATACTGCCATCAGTTACGTATGGGGAGCGCCAGTATTTGACCAAACAATTTGGATTGGAGATTGGTCTGTGAAAATCTCGAAGAGCCTGGCTAGTGCTCTGCACCACCTGCGCTTGAAAGACAAGAGTATATTTGTGTGGACAGACCAGCTATGTATAAACCAGCAAGACATAACAGAGAAGGGACAGCAAATTCCACTAATGCGCATGATCTACTCGCATGCAACCAACACACTTATATGGCTTGGCGATGATGATGGCGAAGACCCCGTCGGCGCCCTCGACTTGCTAGAGACTGTCTACGCTCGATTACAGGGAACAGATGCACAAGCAACACCGGCAGACTTTGCCAGATTGGACTTTCCTCCCGTCTCAGACCAAGTATGGTGGGATGTCCGACAACTTCTCCGGAGGCCCTGGTTCGGTAGGTTGTGGACAATACAGGAGGCGGTGTTGTCGAGAAATCTGTTTATCAAGTGCGGCCATGCATCAGTCTGCTGGGATGACTTTGCAGCTTGGTGCTCTTGCTTGGAGGAGACCGGCATACTCCGCTGGCTCATCAGCAATGCAGATTTAGACCTTCAACGTCCCCTCCGAGAGCATACAAAATTCTTGCCGCCGCAAGGAGCTGTGGTTGTGGGGTCCATCCAGGCGGATCGTCTTCAAAGCATAAATCTCGTCCAAAAAGAATATCTACTTAACATTCTAGTATCCACGAGATATGCCCAGGCAACGGAGCCCAAAGATAAAGTGTACGGTGTCCTTGGAATAGCCGACTCCAACATCGTCCCAGACTATTCCCTCAGTCTTTCTGTAAGAGACGTCTATCTTCAGGCCTGCGTGACGCAGCTGCCCCATCTTAAATATGAGCTGCTAAGCTGCGTCGACCATGATCTGCCATTGCAGCCATCGTGGGTCCCGGACTGGAGTACCCCACGAGCTACTGAAGCGTTGGGCTACTCTACGAAAGCTTGGGCTCTGTATTGCGCTGGAGGCAGACCCGTAAATGGAAAGGAACCACCCAGAATGGCATTGAGCGAGGACAAGAGCGCACTCACACTGACAGGAAAAGTTTTCGACACGATCATCAGCGCAGGGTGTGTTTGTGAGGATCCCGTACTTGATATCGTCGACCCTAAAGGCAAGAATCGCGATTTGGCATCATATGTCGATCTGGCGCTCAAATCGAGGCAGTGGCACAAGTATCTCATATCTGGTACTTCTGTTTACAACGCTTTCCTGAACACGCTACTTGCAGGACGGGATGGCTCGGGGGCCTTGGCCCCGACAATCGACCATGAAGAAGCTTTCGGCCTAATACTTGATTCAACGACTGGCCAAACGCCTTCTTTGCCTGGCCAGACCATCAGTACACGCCGACAGAAGGGCCACTTTACACTCGAGAATCTCAAGACCCGGAAGCCGGCCAGGACTCTAGAAGATTTGCAAACGGCGCTCCGGGCCGCATTGAGCATGCGCCGATTCGCCGTCACTAAGGAAGGTTACTTTGCACTCGTTCCGAGGGGCGCACAGATCGGCGATGAGGTCGCAGTGTTTGATAGAGCCTGCGTGCCCTTTGTGCTGCGGCGGAAGCATAGCGATTCAGTGCAGAATGATTTTGAACTTTTGGGCGAAGCGTACGTTCACGGCGTCATGGAGGGAGAAATTATGAATGTGGATGACGTAAAACTCGAAGATATTACGCTTGTTTGAGGGTGCGGCGGATGCTCGATCAGTCGGAGCATTTCCGATTTCATTCTGAAACGTGATTCCCCACGTGATCGTGTGTGCGAACACAACTATGTATCGAGTCCTGGCATTTTACATGTTGCGGCATATAGTGGTGCGTACTAGCTAGGTCGGTCACAAGCTACACCCCTCATATAAACCGGCATTTATACCCAATAATCTTGGCACAACGTTGTCTCGCAATCTACTTCCAACAATGCGATTGGCTCAAACCAGGGTCGCGTAAACCTCCGATGAACCCTCGGCATGTCTTATATATTGCTTAATTTATACTAGTGCCACTACACGTTGTCGGCGGCACGCGTTCCGAATGTAAGATGGAGGAAGTCGCCCTGCTAGGATTTCGAGGGGGGAGGCGAGCAGGTAGCCTAGCAATCGGTTGGTGGACATAGTAAAACGCACCACTTGTTTAGATTCTAACTCGTGGACTGAATGGCATCGCTAAATACTAGTCTCACATTGTTCAATATTTAGTGGTGTTGTGAACCCCGGATCTCGGGCCAGAAGCCTGGCTAGGTAGACTGGAAGGACTTGTTTAAAAGGCACTTAAGTCTTCATCACTTCCACATTCCACATTCATTTACTGTTCGAAAAGACACCAGCGCAAAACATCAATATGAGACTCTCAACACCTCTTGTCCTCGCTGCGGTAGCCTCCTCAACGACCGCCCACACTATCTTTCTTAGCCTCAATGGCGGTGCCGTTGGCGACGGAGTTCGCGTCCCCACATACGATGGCGTACGTCTCACTACATACCCAACTATCCACAATCTTCCTTCTCTAACCTTGAAAATACACAGCCCGTAAGCGATGTAACCTCAAATTCAATAGTTTGCAACGGACCCCCCAACGACGTCCCTGCCAAAACCAACACCGTCATCACCGTCCAAGCTGGCTCCAAAGCCACCCTGACATGGCGACACACACTCACCTCTGGGCCCAACGATGTCATCGATGCTTCACACAAGGGACCCGTCATGGCTTATATGAAGAAAGTCAGCGATGCAAAGACCGACTCTGGTGTTGGCGGGGGGTGGTTCAAGATTGCACAGGATGCTTTTGACGGCTCGAAATGGGGCGTCGATCGCCTCATTGCCAACCAGGGCAAGCAAACCATCACCATTCCAGCTTGCATTGCACCAGGCCAGTACTTGCTCCGCGGCGAGCTTATTGCGCTCCACTCTGCTAGCCAGCTCATGGGAGCCCAGTTCTACATGGTGAGTCCCTAGCCCCCCTTTTTTTTAGTTCTTTCTATCGAGTATTGTACTGATGCGGCGGATGTAGGAATGCGCGCAAATTAATGTCATTGGTGGCTCTGCTAGTAAGACTCCTGCGACTGTCTCGTTTCCTGGAGCGTACAAGCAGAATGATGCGGGTATCGTGTACAACTTGTACACTGGGTCAAAAACTTATACCTCGCCTGGACCGGATGTTTTCACTTGCTAGAGATGTCGATGAGTGGTCTCCATTAATTGTAAATATTTCTCAGGATAGATTCTTACCATTAGAGAGTTTTACACAATAAATACTTGGGTTTCAAGCAGCTGTACAACGATGATAGTTGCTTTTTATAGCGTTCTTCACATGGATGTGGACTTGAAGAAGTTATTTTCTTCTCCTAGCCTTTTATCAAACTCATGCGTCTCACTTGTATGGTGTTTCATACTGCTAAGCGTCAATCGTTTGATCTTGAGCTTGCTACGTCTTGCAGTTTATATAGTCTTCCGTGAAATACATGCTACAGAAACACGACCGAAACCAGTTAGTTGAGCATCCTTTCCATAATCCATGTTCCCACTTCTTCCTTAAATAGTGAGCCTGCATAGTCTAACGGTGTATATCCTTGATTGTCTCGAGCGCTGACATCAGCACCGCCCTGGATCAATACTTTGATGGTTTCTGTATGATGACTTTTCATCAAGCCCTGGCTACGCGCAAGAATGGCACAATACAATGATGTCTTGCCCGATGTATCCCTCGCTTCAATGTCGGCTCCATACTCGATCAAGGGCTGTACTATTTCGGGGTAGATTACATTTGCCCCCATATGCAGAGCTGTTGAACTTTCATAGTTTTTTCTGTTGATATCTACTCCTAGAGATATCAGCAGCCTGAAGATTGCCATTCCATCTTTTGGAACGATGCTGCAAGCGATTTGATGCAATAGCGTCTTGCCAGCTTTTTTTTTCGCTTGGAAGTCTTGTCCTTTATGTAGAAAAGGTCGGACCATTGATTCACTTCCTGAATCAACCGCCATATGAAGCAATGTACCGCCCTTATCATCCTTGACCCAGATATCAGCTCCCATCTCGATAAGCAACCGTACGTTTTCGACGACACCGCTTTGGCAGGAGGCATATAACGGAGTCCTCCCACTATAATCCCTTGCTTCAAGATCCGCTCCTCTGTTAAGAAGTAATTTGATTATTTGCTCGTCATGAATCTCTGAGATTAAGTGCAATGGGGCAATCTTTTGACATGGATCGTCAGAAATTGCGTTCGAGTTTGCGCCTAAATCGAGTAGGAGCTGCACAGACGCCGATTCTCCATTCAATACTGCATGATGCAATGCTGCAATACCGTCCGAATCGAATTCGTTAATGTCTGGCCCCCTATCCAAAAGCATGTTCAACATTCTTTTGTTACCCCAACGAGCTGCTTGGTAGGAGGGATTTTGGCCATACCGGTGTATTATGAAAAATGCATTACGATCAAGAAGTTGCTGCGCCACTACTTCATCTTCGTTTTCGAATGATCGCTACAAAGGCGTGAAACCATCGTAATCCTCTACATTAACATCGACTCCATGTACAAATAGTAGCTGCACCACCTCGTCATTACCTCCTCGAATAGCCCAATGCAAAGGCGTCATATCACATACATCTTTCTGGTTGAGAAAATTAGGTGATTTGAGTTCCGGATGGTCTCAAAATATGGCTTCTAACCAGCAGGGCACTCCAATGTAGCTTGCGATATGCAGCAGAGGAGGGGTGTGAGACAACCAATTCCATCGCATCTGGATAAATGATTGCCACCACTTTGTACGTAGCGTGGAGTCGGGTTCGAAAAATTGGTATAAGTCATTGTAGAGCTCATTTGCAGCATCAAGACAAAGTCGGGCATGTGTATCCCAATGATAGGCCGCATAACGAAAGAGTGGTGAAGACTCTGAATCAGTTGCTTCTGGATTCGTCGATTTAGCCCGAGAGTCACTCTTTTCCGCAATATAGTCGAAACATATGCGGGCGATCAGGCGATGTGTTTCCTTCTGTCGAATGCGAAAGAACTCCAAAATGTTGTTACTATCTCTATTCCTGCGCAATAGATAGTCTCTTGCTGATTGATGGATGAGTGTAACCTCTTCATGCTCAACTTTCAGCATTTGACCACACAAGGATATTGCATCCATGGTTGTCTTCTTGAGAAGGACAGATTTAGGTACTGGATCGATGTCTTTGGAGCAGATGATCTGGAGGGTTGGTTGCAGACCTAAAGCTTGAGCTAGTTCTGCGAATTCCAGGGGGCGTTGGGCAAGGCAGACCCATTGTAATATCAGCGATGATGTTTTTTGGTTGTCCGGAGGAATCCCCAGCAATATACGATCATACATATTACTCAGATCAACCGGCAGTGACTCCAACTGCTGGCATACCTGGCTCCACGTACGCATCTTCAATAGCTCGTTGACGACAAAGCCTACCCATAGAAATGTGCCACTAGCTCTTGAAAGTAGGGCATCCTGTACTGTTGGGCGGAAAGTGTTGTCTAATCTCTTCCTCTGAAATAATTCATGCACCTTTTCGCCAACGAAAAGCTCGATATCGCCACCACCATTGCTAACATGGTCTTTGTCGGGATTCACCTTTTTGCAGACCTCTAGCCCATCTACATCGCGGCTCACGATGACGAACCTAAGAATATTCTCGGGCTGATTTGGCGAGGTTTGGAGACCAAGTTGGTCAACGAATCTTGGGACAAGAAATCTTTGCGTGTCCTCGTCGCACTCATCAAACCCATCCACTATGCAAAATATGTGGCCCAGTGTCGCGTCAGCAATGATCTTTTGGAAGATGATCCAAAGAGAAGCCCAGAAAGACAAAGTATGAGCTCTTCGCTCAGGCATCTCTAGGTATGGGAAGGCGTTTTTAGCAAGCTCTGGCCGTTTGTTTATAATTTGATATATAAGGCTCCGTAATAGATCCGTACCCTTATCATGCTTTTGGTGAATGCAGAAATAGTACACGACTTGTTTTATTTTTTCATTTGATAGTTCCTGCTCAAGGTGCTCCGTCAGGAAGATTGAGAGCATGGTTTTGCCTTTTCCTGGTCCTCCTGTGATCCAGAGCAGAGGTATTTTTCCTCTTTCCCAAGATTGATAATTTGCATTGTTTTTGATCTACTAACAGGTCCCAGTGGCTCTGGTACCCTTAGCAGTGGCGAGCTACAGACGGTCGACTTCGGGCTCGGAAACGAACAACGCATCTCGGCATAACTTCGCTCGCTGTTCGATGGTCTCTGTCAAGTCTCAGCAAGAGCTAGGATATCGAGCGATCACGTTCAACATGCCCTGAGAATTTATACAGAACCCGAAGTACACATCGCGCGCGGATCCATAGACACCCTGCGATCCATTCTGTATAGTTGGTGTGGCAGCGAGAGAGATTGATTGGTTCGGACCATGAGGACATACTTGACGATAAAAGGTGGTTGGCAATGATGCGTGACAGCCAAGGCAAACCCACAGAGACACGGCGTTTATCCTCGCAATCGGTTCAGCGACCAAAGAAAGTCCTGTCAACTCATCATGAGAGCGATTCTGCAAGAAAAGAGCCTTTACGCACAGCAGTGTCTGCGGATTCACAGCAATTATCTAATCAATCATCGGAACATACAACCGAGATTCCACACACTCATCATGTGAACAAGCCTGAAAGTAAGGATCCTCCATATGCAGCTGTCCATGCAGAGGTACGACAGTTATCCCAGCACTTGGTACAGCCACCGACGGAAGTTCTAGACATTCGTAATAACAGCAAGCCTACGAGTATAGAGACTTTGCATAAAAGAATTCCTGCTAGGGAACGGCAATCGTCTCAACAGTCAGTACAACAACCAACAATGTTTCAGGACGTTCAACATGTGAGAAAACCTAGGTGTAAAGAGACTTTGCCCACAGAATTTCCTGCAGAGGCACTAGCTGCTTCAACAAAATCTCTGGCAGACGTGGTATCTAGCTGACTCGGCGATTTCTTCGACAGCAGCAATCAAAGACAAACAGAATACACTGACTCTGAGATTCAACAAGTCTCGCTCCTTCTTATTCAGGTGAATCTACAATGGAGCAAAGTCCCAAGAACATACATAGTGCTTCGGACCATCAATTGCCTGGACCTTCTCGACAGGTTCATCGATCTAGGCTTCTCTGACCACTGGTTCCTCACTAATCAGCGAGGGCTCCCTTCATGCCTTGTGCCCAGCAAGCGCTCACAAATCGTGACTACCCAGGACCTAGTCATGATCAAGTCTATGGACCTCGAGAAAGGCGAAGAGGGGTGGCATTACTTCTTCCGGGAACACAAGACACTTCCGTTGGAGATGAAGGGTATTCTTGGGACTGGTAAGTTCGGACAGGTGGACCGGGTGCTCAGCTTGATTAGCTTCAGAGAGTACGCGCTGAAGCGAGTGCCACGGAGCGCTGCGTTTAGTGGACGAAGAACAGAAGTCGTTAAACAGTTTATTACTGAGATGAAAGCCTTGAAGCGTATCAAGTACCACCATGTGGTTGAGTTTGTTGGGAGCTATACCGATCTAAAGTACATGGGTCTCATCGTGTCTCCTGTTGCTGATATGGACTTATTTGCTTACCTGGCCAGTGTGGATACAACCAAACATCAAGAAATAAGTACCTTTTTCGGCTGCCTGACTCGCGCTCTGGAGTTTGGGAGTGGTCTTTCTGGAGATGACGGCTGTGCTCAAAGGCAGAACGGTTGGTTCAATTTACAGCTTTCTCAAAGAGCACGGGAATTTCCAGGCCTTTATACGCACGAATCCGACTAGTACGGATGCTCTTATCAAACAGCTCAAAGAAATGGGTAATCCCGCCGACAATGCAGCACTGGCATGGACTCAAGACATGATCATGGTACAACAGCAACTGCGGCCCAATGCGGCATCATTAATGGCATCTATCCTCGGCAAGAGTCAGACGGGGAGCGGGAGCGAAGTCTTTTGGGGGATATGCTGCACTTCGCAGCATGATGATCTGAGCGATTTCGATGAGCTGGAGATAGATGATACCAAATGAAGTCGACCGCAGGATGTTTGACTGGGTAAATATGAAGCCACTCACTGAGAGGTGGTAGAAACAACTAATGTAAATACGAGGTGTGTTTCTGAGACCAAGTCGTGTGAACGGGGTGAGACGGAATCTACACGTTGATATATGGATCGAGAACAAGACAACAAATCGCATATCATAATATGTACTTGTTTATTTGCTTACACTAAGAAAATGACTTATCACCGTCGTTGTATTTCGCCAATCAACACCTAGCCATTCTGGCCTTTGGCAACACCACCCTTCGTCGTTTCATCCTCCGACATTCTTCCAGAAATTCAAAACCATCTAATCCCGCCTTCCTTTTGACAAACAACCTATCCACATAATCTGGAGCGAATATCTTCTCAAACAACATGCGCGGTGGTCTCTCTGGACGAGCGCCATGAGAAAGCATGTGGTCGGCTTGTTCCTGCAAGAATGTTAATCCTTCATGTGATTAAAGAAGCTTTGCTGTACACACCTGAGATATCATCGCAGTCCATGACAAACTACAAAATGGGCAATTATCTGTTATCTCGCGCTTTGGTATGTGTGCAAGGGTTGCCTTCTGATTGTCTATCCCATTAGCATCCCTCGGGGTGATCTCAAAAGGCTCCGGTGGATTCAGTGGAAGCGGCGGCTCGTTGAAACTCGGGCTAATCTGCTCTAGCCAATCCATAATTGACTGGCGGTGATTCACTTGCGGGTCGAGAATGAGTATAGTGCTGGCCCTGCGACATAATGCTTCTTCATTCATGTCAGCGCCAGCGTCATCCGCAAAGCTTTCAGTTTTGCAGCCTTCGGTAGACTCAATTTCACGAGACGGGTTGTCGTTTGCATGGGTGCAAGGCTTGTATGGTTGTTTCTTTGCAAAATGGACTCCGTGATTGTGCTCTTTGCCCACGGTCTTTCTCGCAATATAGCATCGAGGTTCCTCCCCGTCGTTTACTTGTTTCTCATCGTCTCCTTTCGTATCCCGTACCCAAAAATAATAATGCGGCACATCGCAACTGTTGAACCTCACATACCGCAAGTTCCTGAGTTCTTTCTCATCCCCATACATCTCTCTAAGCCCAAAGTCTAGATACGCAGGTACGTATCCCACAGCCCTCGGCCTCCACTTGCACGTCTCATACACCTCAGCCAACAACTTCCCTTTGATCCTCTTTCTCCTTCTCTTCCTCTTCTCCCTCGCCTCACGATACGCTTCACACGTCATCTCTACGCGTCTCACTCCTCTGTCTTCCATGCTCCACTTGCTGTACACATCAGCAAGGCTCTTGGCCGCCGGGGTGCTAGCATTGCCGATATGAAAATATAGAGTAGCATCATTTCCTCTGACAAGTGTCCGAGAAGCCCAGTCTTCACCAGTCTCAATAATAGCGTTGCACAGTATGCCTTCTAAACGCCCTTCGTGGGCTGCGGCGCGCACAGAGTCAGGGAGAAGGGGAACAAAGTCTGGGTCTACGGTTGGGGGGTATTTGAGCCCTGGGAGGCAGATTTTCTGCTTGCTTGTTGTTGTGATGATCTTGAGTGGGGCATAAGGTTTTGTTGTCGGTCGGAGAGCGGGGACATGTGAGAGATAACAAGGCGGGTTGACAGGTGGCATGATTTCGTGTGGCCATTCCAAGAGTTGGAGTTTACAGGATGGTATGAGGATGTGATCGGTGGGGTCGGGGATTGATTCCGTTGAAGTACTATCCCAGGACGAGTCGCTGAGTGCGTATCCTATAGCCTCGCCCATGTACTCATTTGGAATGTTTTCCTGGGCTTCTATCTCGTTGTCACTTATGGTGTCGTCGCTGACACTTTCATGTCGCTCTTTTTTCCGCATCTTCTCGACCTTTCTTCGGAGTTTAGCTTCGATCAGCGCCTCCTGTTCTGCAACGATGCGTTCCTGTTTTCTCTTCGCTTCCTCTTGCTTCTTGCGGAGAGCATTTAGATTTTCGCGTTCAGCGCGTTTCTTGTCTTCATCGTTTCGCTTCAGCGCCCACGCCATTTCCACCTTTTTCATGTCCTTGCGATATACACCGCGCTCTTTTGCTGCATCGAGCAGCTCTTTGTAGTTGTAGGCATCATAGACGGAATTTGTCCTGTCTGAATCGCGCACCTTATGTGTACCGCCTCGGCGATGTGTAGCAGCTTGTAGCGCCTTGCTGCGTTCGTCAGGCTCTAGAGATCGACCGTATGTGCTGGTATGGCTTTGTTTCCCTCTTTTTGTGGGCATTGTGCTGATATTGTTATCGGCACTACGAGAATGTTTTGTCACTATAATTCAAGATTAACGACATGTATGTCGGCTCCGAAAATCAAGGCATAGGACACCAGACGTTGCGCGGGACTTGAGGTGTGATGAAGGTGCCGTGTATCTCGATGCCCAGTGCGAAACCCATGCCTTTGACGAGTCTTGGGTGGAAGCGGTGGCATCTGAACACCTTGTTGTCATTGTAGCCTTTGTCTCATTGTTAGTATGGAGGGAAATCAATGCAAAGACTGCGAAACACGACCGCACACAACGTTCAATGCAATGTCACTTGGATGTTTGGAACAATTCATTTGCAAGTACTTGCAAGACTTCAGGGTATCTCACTGTGGCGGGTTAACTTACGGATAGTTTGATTGGGAGGAAGCTGCTTACAATTCCGACTTTGCTGTTTCTTCCCTCTTTTCTTTCTTAAAGTCAAAGAAACCCTCCAACTCCATCCATTCAGCGGTGAAAGCCATGAACAATTTAGTCCAATCTTCCACCGTATCTATATCAAGATGTTCTGCGTCATCCTCCATTGTGTGCCACACGGTTGGAAATGGCGAGGGAATCATGTGCAGAATTTCAACACCACGAGCCATGAAGGGAACGTGGTCGTCCTGCACAAACCCACCCATGAAGTTGGTGCTTTGCTTGGACGCTTCGGGCAGGAAGAGTTTCTCAGCGCGAGGCTTCTTGTTCTCACGCTTTGCCATTTTGGACTTATGGTTTGGAGATGACTTCATCAGACCCAGTTTGCGCAAGCGGTCCTCGATCTTTGCCACATTTTGATACGCCCAGTGAGTGGTTGAAAAGTACGAGGGTACTTGTGGGTTCTTGGAACCTAACAAGTCAAGGAGGACGAAGAGTTCGATCGAGTCGAGGGGCGTCCGGTAAATCGAAGCGGCGGCATGGAAGGTCGACTCCCAGTCGCCAGCGAGAGCCCTGCACGTCATAGCTTAGCACTTGGCCGTGGTGATCAAAAACAGCATTACCCACCTGGCACCATAAAGACTGTCAGTATCGGACCATAATTTGAAAGCCTCCTCGCCGTCCAGCAGCAGAACTTGGACGCCTTTGTGCTCGACCTCAAAGTCGTCGCCCTTGGAGCTGGCCCACTTCTTGGTCAGGGCCGCATCGATGCTGCGTACAATATGCAAGATCATAGCGCATGGGGCAGCACTGTCGGTGGCTCCGATGAAGCCCGGAGGCGTGTACTTGCTGTCGTAGTGGGCGACCAGCGCCAGCCTCGACACATCGCCCTCCAAACTGCCTGGAGGGTCGCGCGTGGCAATGATGTTGACAAAAGGCACTTCCTTTCCATTGCTGACGGGCGTCGTCGACGAGGAATTGTGCAGTTCTATCCGCCATTCGGGCAATTGCGACTTGAAAAAGTCTACAAAATGCTTGCGCACGGCAGCATTGCCCTCAGTCCCGGATACTCTAGGGACTAGAATAGGCGCCAGCAAGGAGCCCTTTTTGATGTCGAAATCATCGCCGGGCCCAGGCAGGTGCTTGAGTGTCTCGTCGCTGAGGTCGTGGTAAGCGGAGCCGAGGGAAAGGCATGAAAGAAGCGTTAGGAACGCGCGGGTGAACAACATAATTGCGGCCTATCACATGAAGCATGCACCAATAAATCCGAAGCGGGCTTGACAGGGAAATAACGGTGATTCAAACAACAATATGACTAGTAGCAGACATAGTGACGGCTGGCACGTGTGTAGTGGAGTAGAGTAATCGATTGGAGTATAGAGGAATCGTGGCTTCTCCTTGTCTCCAGCCCAGACCCTGAGACACGCACCGCCGCCCCTCGACGCTCGGGCGAACTTGCGCCGTGTCGCCGACACACGTGACACCGCGACATCTGCAAAACTCGATTTCTATTCACCACCTCGTGCTTTTCTGTAATTGGCCAATTGCCCTCGACACGCGCGATCAGAGCGACCACCACTATGGACAGCAGCCATTGAACGATTGTCAACAAGAAATCTGCACACTGCGGGGAAAATTATTTTGCTGTTGCAGTACAATTGCTACACCCTTTCTCTACTCACCACCCACCCACTCCCGTTCAACATGCAGCCACGTCTATTCGTCTTTGCGGCTGCTTTCAGAAGCACTGCACCATTATCAAGAGCTGGAAGACCGGTGATCAAGACACACATTTCCAGCTTCATATGTCGGAGCTGTCAAAGGAAACTTTCCACTTCTCCCACACTGCGCTTCTTCGGAAAATCAGCAAAAGAAGGAGCCAAGACAATTGAGAAAGACAGGAGTACGTGAAAATCACCGTCTTTAAATCTGGCTGCCATAGACTAATGACCAAATAGAATACCCGTCTAGACTACTTATCTATGATGCGGGTGACGCACGAACCACATGGATCTCCTTCTGGAAAGCAATGGCCTTGCTGCAGTTCGGTACCACTCTAGTCTTTGGTGTACCCCCCTTATGGAACAATGAAAACCAGCCTGACCCGCGATTGAGAAAGATGCAGGCCATCTTGGGTAAGTGTTTTGACTTTCGTCATTATTTCGTACATGTTCATTCACCCCTCGAAATATTACATGACTTAGCTTGGTGTTCATCCTGCAACCATCTCTTTCAATGCTAATCGCACCATTTCCACTCACGTCTATTTCTTTCTCTGTTTATCTTTGTAGTTTTTTTCCGGGTTCCTAACACATGTTTGCTTCTTATTTTGCATCTTCATTATAATCCTTTCCAGTCATGTAACTTTACGACACCTCAAAGGGCATATGTTCAATTGGCATTCCAATTCCTCACTCTCCCAATTTCTCTTCTATGATACTACCAATATCCAACCAGCATCTAACAATCCCACTCAGTCGGCGTCCTTGGCACCATCCCTACCTTAACCCTCGCGTACCTCACCGCCCCCTTCGTCCACCAAATCTTCCTTCAAATCCCCGAACACGCTCGGCGCTCCCGCCATGATCTCCTCCGCTTCGCCAGCACCTTGCGTAAGAACCCCCTTGCGACCGCAAACAACAAACTCGAATTCGTCACGCTCCGCATCTTCCCCTTCCGCAAACACACCACCGCTTTCCTACATGAGTTGCGCGCTCTACCGCAGCGCCGGTTTCGCCTTGCCAATATCGAGTTGCCCAAGACAGATGCATGGGCGCAGAGGCAAAGGGAGAAGGGCATTCTGAAGAGGGTTCTGGATGTAATTAACGAACCGAGGTTCAAGTTTTATGTCAAGGAAGGTAGGTTGTATACGATGAAGACCAAGGTTCCAGGCGTGTGGGAGGAAGTGGCGGAGAGGATTCGGGATCAGACGGTTGCAGAAATGGAAGAGCAGGAGAGGAAGAGCAGGGATGGCGCGGTTGCGGTGGCAAGGAAACCTGTTGTGCTTGCGAAGAGGGTGAGTAAGCCTGTTCTCAAGGTTGATGAGAGAATCAAGAGACAAACGACAAGGAGCTTGCGCAAGTAGATTTTGAAACTTCTACCATGATGATGAGTTGGGCAGCTCCCATGCCTAAAGCACGAGATATAAACTGTAGCTAAACATTAGCAACAGTATGGAAGATGATACACACATGCAGGCTATGACTACGCAATCGCTTTGCACGATTACATAGAGCGTTCTTTCACTACAATCTCATTTATCCTGACACTGAAATCTATGCCGACTCATGAAATGCCGGCTTATTCTTCTCAAGCGTGTCGTTGTAGGTTGGCAATTCCTTTGCTATCGATGCACCCGAGCCAGCATTCTGATCCACCAGACCACAGCGCTCTCGTAGCTCCGCAAGCCCAACCTCACGATAGACATCGTTCCAACGCTCCTTTTCGCGCTGAGCAGTGCCGACAAAGCCAAAGAGATGGTCCATCTCCTCCTATAGCGGTGATTAACATTGTATTTGGTTGAATGATTCGGGTTCCCAACTTACAAGTGACAACTCCTTTGTCTTCAGGAAAAAGAAGAAGATAAAAGCAGCACCCACGGCAGTGAAAATACCAAAGAAGATATAAGTGCCATAACGCAGGTGCGTAAGCATGTCTGGTGTCACTTGGCCAACAATAAAGTTATTAATCCTACAATGACGTCAGTATCTCGAGCCATGAAGATCGCTCATCGAACGCCGACTACACTCACCAGTTGGAAGAAGCGCCAAGAGCGATACCGTATGGACGATTTGCCAGAGGCCATATCTCTGCCATGACGATCCACGAGGAGGGACCCCACGAGTAACCAAAGAAGACGACGAATAGCCAGACCATTGCGCATGCCGCCCACCCGGCACCTTGGTGGTGTGGCCAGTCGTCTTCGAACCCGGCTGCAATGCCAGAAACGATGAAGTGGCAAGCAGCAATACCGATAACTCCACTGATAAGCACTGGTTTGCGGCCAAGCGTGTCAGCATACAAGACTGCCGGGACTGTTGATTCATTAGCATCAAGTATTAGGTTTGGGATATGTATGGATCTTGAAGTTACTAGTCGCTAGAAACATGGCGATGCCAACAACACCAGTAACCAGTGAACTAACAGAGTTGCTCGACAACCCCAGATCACCGAATATTGTCGGTGCATACTACAAGATTGCATTGATTCCTGTCCGTTGTTGGAATAGCATGGTAAGCACTGATATGATGACGCGCTTGAACATGCCTTTTATCGTAAATAGGCTGCCAATCGCCACGAACTGAAGTTTGAAAATTGACACAGCACTCATATCTTGAAGGTGGGGGAAGTTTTCTGCGAGCGACTTCTTCTCAAACAAGCTCTGAGCGCGGATCTCGGCGTACTCGAGCTCAACGAGCTCATCGTCCTGGGAAAGTTCGCGTAGTTGAGCGAGTACACGGCGGGCCTCGTCTTCGCGATTGTTGTGGACGAGCCAATGTGGCGAGAAAGGCATGAACAACATGCCGACACCGAGAAGGGCGGCGGGAGCTAGCTGCAACGCAAGAGGGATGAGCCATGCAGAATCCTTTTGTCCGGCCCCGGTTCCGCCAATGTGGTTGGTACCATAGTCGATCCAGAAACAGACCATGATTCCAAGTGTGATACTCAATTGCTGAAGTCTAACAAGCGCACCGTGTACCTCTGGCGGCGCCAGCTCCGCGTTATACATCGGCACAATCATCGACAAAGAACCGACGCCCATATCCGTAACAAAGCGACCACCCAGGACAGCGCTATGTCCGATTCCTGTGATAGCCGTGCATTTTACGATAACACCGACGATGAATATGTCGACTTTGATCAGAATGGCCCATTTCTGTGACAGTATCTCAACCAGGAAGCCAGAATGCATGGTTCCGAACTAAGCGCCGAGTTCGAGGATGGAAACGAGACAGCCTTGTTTAGAAGAGTTGCATTCCAGCGTCTATGGATCTTCGATTTAGTCGCCCATATCTGGTAATCGTTAGGGTTGACAGTAATGACTTGACATTTGTCGTAAGCTACTCATGCCTCTTGAAGGAGTTCATGGTAAGAACACCAGAAAAGACACCCTGATTGTATCCATATAGCGAACCTCCCAAGCAAACAAAGCATGCAATACCGAACACCTTTGCGTCCTTGACTAGGGCCATGGAGTTCGCAGGATCAATCAGTCCTTCCGTAGTCGATCTCAAGTCCTGAAATGTGGAAACCCAGTGACAAGGCCATCGTGGGGAACCAATACTACATATGCAATCTGAATTTGCCTCACGGACACCGCATATCCAACTCGACTTCTGCCAAATGTTTCATGACGGGTAAACAAGACGGTTAAGCTCAGTGACACCGATACTTAAGTTTCGCTGTGGGGGCAATACAAGCGTCGGGGTTACCGGAAATCAGCGGCAGGTGCTTGTCTCGTGCGAGATTGAGACGACCTAAAACCAGTGGAGAGGACACGTAACATTGGATCAGAACGTGGAGAGTGAGTATAATGGCGGGTTGCCTCCAGTGGGGCCCCATTGTTTGATAAGCGGACGTGTATGAATTGGTGATTTTGTGCCCTGGACCGTATATTGTTCAAAGTTCGCCATTCAACGTCTCATCAAGTTGATTTTTCTGACTTGCTATCAAATCTTCAAAATTTCGGGGAAAGACAAGCTTTGAGGCTCAACTGCAGGAACCAAGCTTTTGCAAGCACAAGCAAGATGGCGCAGGGATAGATTGGAAAACGTTCATCGGCCGCTCCGCAGGTCTCCATGTCCCCGTCGTCTCTGACTAGCAAGGCGTCTGTGTGGAGTCTCCAACGCGGGTTTGTAGTGCAACTTTTGCATTCTGCCTAAATACCAGAATGCCATGGTTTTCGCAAGGAGTAAAGGGCTGGGTTCCTGGCGTGCTGTGGCAAGGTCGGGGAGCATGCGGCTGTGTATGTCGAGAGTGATTTTTCATTCACGGTTCAGCTCAAAGTCCATTCTGCTTGAGTTCTTTGGTCCATGAGTGAGGAATTTGTGGATGAATAAGGCGTCGTTCAATCTCAGCCAATCAGTGTGGGTTCATACTGATGTTGTGCTGATCGAAGTACGTGTAGCATGGTTTTCTCAATCGTTTTCATTTTCTTGTTTCACTGCCTCTGAAGTCAAGCGGCTACAATTACCTTAAATTTACAAAACCTTACAATAACAATATTAAGATATATTCTTGGACGTTAACGAACTAAAAGCCAAAGAATCAGGCCTGTCGTTGTTATTAGAGAAGAAAGGCGTTGAAACAATTGATCATTGTGATTTCCCAATAATGTCCATCCCTAGGGCCCGAGACGCCCTCTGAGGCGAGACAGTTTTGCACTCTAGAAGTTCAGTCCATCCTCCTTATAATTTTACAACACTGTTGTTCATATATACAAATCTACAGTATTCCTCCTTTAAGAAAAATATCTCTGAGTACGATCCCTCCAGTACTAGGTATATAATTGATCCTTTCTTAAAGGCAGTTAATCGTATTAATACTAGTTAACCCCTATCTACTTGCGTATGTTTAACTTTGGTAAATATCCAAAGGTCGCAAGGGGAAGTCTAGGGGTGAGGATAGTGCTCCTAACGTTGAAGGCTATTTTAACGTTACAAGGGTAGATGCTAGGAGGTCCGTTGGACAGAGAAGGGAGACCTAGAAAATCCTCCCGCTAACAGGACACCCTAACTATGTTAGGCTGCTAACACAATTTTGTATTGAATTTTTGCTATATACCTATCCTCGATGTCTAAAATAGATGTAGCGCTTTGTGATGCGCCAGTCCTAGAACATGCCTTTTGTTATCGCAATGCCCCACGACGCCTTCAGGCGATTAGACAGCCTCTGCACTGTAGACCGGAACTAACTATTATAGATAAGGCAAGGCAAGTATCAGTACTATGAATTACTCCTGGTATGCGTAGATCGTACCGTGCATTACCAGGCCACAGCAGCGTCGCTCCTAGTACCCTCCATCATTGCGCGCACGACCGACATTATATAATCAATTTCACTGGCTTCGTCAGCCACAGTGATTACTAAAGCTGTACTTTGGCGCAATATCTAGCTGGAAGGTACACCGGTCGCTACAAGAATGTGATTGGAGCAGTTTGGCCGCTGCTTCGCCTCACGACTGGGAGGGGTCGTCTCGATCTTGCGCGTGCGCGACTTGAGCCCAGTTGCCCCACGGGGACCCCAGGCATTTTGAATACTATACTAAATCGGCATCAACCTTTTTCTGCGCAATCTACGCTGAGGCAAACGAGTTGCCTCAGCTCAGATATCAGCCTTGTCTACTGCCTGCCTCAGCCTCACAACACGCATGCGGGCACTGCCCCGCAGTGCGTTGTTTTGCAGCCTCTACATATCATGCAACCGGTGAACTGCGATGTGACCTTCTATATGACCAAATCACTTCTGGGAAAGCCCACTAGATCTTTCATCTTCCACATCGACATACAATTTGTCGCCTCATACACATCCCTGCATCCGATATCTTGATATTATCTTTTTCCTCAGTCGCCTTACATTATCAAGTCAAAACCACCGCTGAGACGAACCTCCAAGGCATCTAACACCAGCTTGTATCCTACGTTACAAATCGATTTGCTAATGGCCGGATCAGGGACTCTTTGTTAAAGGGTATTGTGCGATGCCGCCAGAGACTTGCAAGCATAAAGACGCGCGGATATGCGACAATATGATGTTCTGTTCTTCATACGGGGTATTCCGTTGCCTTATCGACAGAGCACCCATAGTCTCGCAGTGTGGGCAGGTTCTTCACCCACAGGAGATTTCAACGATTTACCAATACAGAAGCCTTAGTCGCGACCGTGACGAAATTCGGCTTGTTGTTGTTCATTCTGGCGAAGGACAGCATCCTGTCTACTACCACATCATCACAGCTGAGCTCGATTCTGTACTCCAATATATCGCCGTGTCATATACTTGGGCTACAGAAGATGGAGACTGTAGCAAGTCACGGGAAATATATGTGAAGATGGAAAGTACGGTTGGTCAGGTTACGAGACGAGTACAGGTCACTGCTAACTGTGAAAACACACTCCGACAGTTACGAGATAAGTGCCTAGAGCGGATCATGTGGATTGATAGCGTGTGTATCGACCAATCGGATATCTATGAGCGCAATCACCAAGTTGGACTCATGGAGAAAATCTACCAGAATGCCGTCCATGTTGAGGTTTGCATACAATATTTACGTGAGAGTTATCGTGAGACTTTGAAATTGTTCAGACCACAGTTCCAGTGCGGGATTCCGGAATAGGCTCAGGATAATACACACCAGAAAGGCCTACTTGGTTCTGCATGCAAAATGCCTTTGGACGATCTTCTCAAGAATCAAATTTCAGAACCTACACGTAAGGAGATCACCCACAAACTTTTGGAAAATAGTTCCTCGACTATCAACTTGCAGTACGATGGCCTTGATTGGAAGCCATACTTCTCGTACTACACCGAGGAATGCAGTTTGGCGATAGGCAGCGATCAACACCTCTTGGCAGCAACTCACCAAAATATCATAGCCATCACGAAAGAAATCGAAAGCACGAAGACGAAAAATGAAATAAGGGTCATTTTGCCACCGGAATTTGACAAAGACTTGACGCCAGACGAGGCGCGGCAAAAAATGGAGCGCGCCATACGGCTGGCCGCGAGACTACTTCTCATAATAGATATAGGGCCATTGCCCGCTAATGCATATTCTGGGCGATCCCCCTTGCTTTGGAACCAGCGCTCACTGAAAGACTGCATGCAACAATTTTTCGCACCTCCGCCACAGAAGTATTCTAGGGAATTGAAGCTTCAGCCGTTGTTCACGGGGAGAAACCTTGTTCGCATGGCAGGAATAGAAATCGCATGGACGGATAATCTGACCGACCATCTGCTTCTCATTGATGGCGATCAGCGAGTTTGTATCTTCCATCATGCGTCATTTCTCAAGTAGCAACAGGTGTAGGTTCGTGTTCGATCAAACTAGGTACAGGCAACTAGCGGGATGTACAGTCAGCTTCTACCAGATGGGCTGGCACAAGAAACAATCGGCAATCTTGCGCTGCTATTTCCACAATCTGATCCGAAGACGCGACGCTCTGTCTCCGGGGATGTTCAACTCGATCTCCAACTGGTCAAGTGCGGTCAGCTGAGGACTGAAAAACGTGACTATTCAGAGTTTAAGTACTGGCATGAGAGATTAGCCATTCTGAAATAGGCTTTCGATGAATCTCGTCCGGCAACGATTTTGCAGTGGTGGCATGATCGCAGGGATGGCGTCCAGTGGTACATTTTCTGGGTTGCTATTGTAGTTTTGATGCTTACTATCTTTTTTGGCCTAGTCCAAAGTATTGAGGGAGCGATATAGATGTACAAAGCATATCACACATCAAAGAGATAGTGAGACGTCCTACAGTGAAGGGAGCACAATCATTTCAGGAGTCATTTCTCTATTGTCATCCCCGCAGAACAATGGATCAAGATTCATCTTTCTATATTCTCAAGCGATCAGAAAATCCTTTTCTTCTTATTCTACACACGGCAGTCCTTTCACGCACAACAAGTCTCAAACTCAAACCACCATCATTCCACCTTCATGCCAGCCCTACCCTACCCTACCCCACCACCATTCCCTCCAACACTCATTCCGCTCCCACCAACGCCACCTCCATAACTGCCATATCACTCCCGGGCGGCTGCTTCCACGCCCTAAGTTCCAACCTCGGCTCCGTACTCGCAAAAAGGTCCTTCCACTCCTCCAACTCGCGCTCCCTGCTATTAAACAGCTGGGTCATGGTAAGATCGCGCACACGCAAATAGGCATCTTGGAAGCGAAAAAGGGTGCTGGGGAGAGGCAGAATCGATTCCATAACGAGAACGCGGGCGCAGGGATTGCCACTATCACGTAGGGCGACGGCGAGGTGATTGAGGATTTCGCGGGCATGGTGGTCGGGCCAGTTGTGTAAGATTCTGCGGAGGAAATAGATGTCGGGTTTGGGACTGTTGGGTTGGAGTTGCTGGGGCGTAAGGAAGTCGTGGACTGAGAAGTTGATGCGTGAGGCTATAGAGGCGCTGGCGAGATGGAGTAGTTTGGCTTTGCCTTCTTGGACTACCTCGGGGAGATCCTGGACGGTGAAGTGGAGGTCTGGGAAGGTGGAGGCTAGTGCAATGGATGCGTGTGCAGTCGACCCACCAACGTCGACTATGTTTGCTTCGCCCAGGCTGGCCCAGTCGAAGCCATCGACAATGTGCTGGACACTGCCACTTCCGCTTCGTTGCAAACCACGCATGTAACCTGCGAAGGCCTTGGTCATGTCCGGATGAGCTTCCAAGTACTCGAAAAAGGTCGAATCGGTATTGAGGGCCAGACTGAACGCTGTCTCGTGTTTGTCTACCGAGTTGGGCCATCTCGCTGTTGCTTCAGTAAACTGATATGCCACAGGAGCTTGGTAAATCAATATGAAGGAAGCCCAATCTAGAAAAGCACTATCTGATGCGAATGATGCTGATAGTTGGGTGTGTGCAATCTGCGTTGGTGATGGTTCGAAAAAAATGCCATCCGTCATGACCATCCGCACGACTGACTGCAGCCGCCTGACGGGCACATTCGCTTTGACAGCAAGGTCCGTATAGGCAATAGGACTGAGATCATCGGGAACATGATTGAAGATATCAAATCTCACCAGCCACTTCAAGCTAGCGAGACATTGACAGCGGATCTGGTGCTGTTGAAGTAGCTTCGGTGCTGTCAGTAGAGACTTTTGCAACTCCTGTGTTGCTTCAAATAGAGCGTCAGTCGACCCCTCGCCATTGCCACCAGCTTCCAATCTCTCTGCCTCTTCAAGGATCTTTTGTGCAAGCTTCACTAGAGAGCTTGACTTATCCATAATGCCGTTAATTTTACAGGCAAAGGGACGAGAGTGTATTTGATATATGTACCAGAGGGGCGCGGCTTACATATTAGCCTGCCCCACAGCAGAGCATTACGTGTATTACGGTAACCTACGTGGCAAGCGAGCAGCGCACCACACCAACTTTGCTCATCTCTATAGGCATTGATCTTAACAACATTGTAATATAATAAAGAGATCTCAATATAATAGATTAAGTAGTATCTAGAGTATATTTCCTACACGTACGCGCATTATGGCTAGTCTCTCTGCACTTGCTATAGCTTGCTAGAGCCTAGCGGCTAACACCGAATCGCTCTCCTTCTTAACGCTCTTTACAAGCAATTTACTAATTAGCCTTGCGCTAAGTAAGTAGATTGTCTCTATCTCTCTTTATTAGTACTACTTACTTCTGTATCTGCCTCTTCTTATACTGCCTACTGTTAAGGGCGAAGAGGCCTTCGAACGAGTATGCATTGACCTGTATTACAGAAGAAGAAAGATAAAGAAAGTAAAGCTATTGTACGACATTTCTCGCTTTATACTCTTACCTTAGGTTCCTTCGTACGAATAAGGTTTCGTGACTAAGCGGTATGAATAGGACACGTGATACAGTCACGTGTTTCACTCACGGGCGCAGCCCATTACACTATGCTTACTGCATCTATATTACCTTACAAGACCGTGCTCCTCCCGTGCGCCTTAGTGCCCTATTATAGCCTTTCCGTAGATGTATGGGTCTGCCGTTCGACGACATCTATGTTAAACATATCTGCATCCTTAAAGGCTTCGTTGTTAACTTACGATACTTTATCCACAAGATCCAGTGCTTTAATGTCCTTAGCTATAAAAGGTACCGTGTCATTACCTATCCTAGTTAGTATAGGATAGTATCATTAGACTACTTTACAGTACTTTCTTCGTCTGTACATCGTTTCTCTAAGTAAGCAGCCATCGAGAGCCTCTTGCTAAGGACTTTTTACACATTTCTATCAACCCGTTAGACTACTACTAGAGCAGCTGTAAAACTAGTGCGCATAGACCCGCTCAGCCTAACGTGCGTTGTGACGATCGTCACGGTAAGGTCTGCTTTCGCCTAGTCTAGTTAGTTCATGGCATTCTTAAGCTCCCTCTCGTCTCGATCGCTACTAATAAAAGCATGCGTGTACTGTTTAGTCTTGCTTTTCGTTATTTAAGCGGTAAATAAATTAAAATAGCGTTGCATCTTCTTTACTACATCGATAATTTTCTAAATCTGCTTCTCGATTAGAGGTATCTGTAGCTCGGGTTCGTCTTGCATAAGTCACAGTGTGCTAAGTAATCTATCTAGCTAGCTTTAATAGCCATCAAGTCGACCTGATGCGCCGTAAACCTTTGCTCTCGCATCCTGCATCATTTGAATGACGGTAATCGCCTGACCGAGTAGCTGAGAGACAGCAGCTGTGCCGCCAATCACCTCCTAGCATATTCTGTTAGACTTTTGCAGATAGCAAAGATAGACACTCGAATATAACAATCCTAACATATTAGCATAAACGTCTCAGCTCGCTGTAAATACAGGCTATAGAGTGTGTCGTTCTCGTTTGTAGTGTATATATAGCTAAGGCTGAAGGCAGCGTGGCGAAGTTTAGCGCCTGCTTCTCAGCTGTAGACTTGGCAACATGAGCGCATCCACTCGAGCCTCGATAGTTCCCATGTTCTTCGCAGGCCTATTAATGTTCAGCTGCAATTTGAAGAGGTCACTCGTGAAGATTAAAGTCCTGTACTCTCGAAAGAACGACCCGCTTGTACATAGAGGTGCCGGACGGGCCAACGCCGCGGACGGGCCAACGCCGGATTTCTCCCCAACAGTACTATCACAAACTTGAAGCTGTAGAGCTCTACATAAAAGCTATTATCGCGAGAAACTCTAGTATAGTAATCTCGTAGTATTGTTTATTTGATCTATCTACTGATATTTGATTGGCAGCTTGATGGGGCGGCCTGAACGCGAGCGTGGTGATGGTGGTGCAGCTGATCGATTAGCTCGCTGCGCACCACCACTACTACTGCCAACGATAATATTCTTTGATGCTAGCTCAGTAGAGCGCTTGAAGGTAGGCTTCTTTCCCCTTTGTGAGATTTTGATAGCTTTCTGAAGTCGTTTGTGGGCGGCTTGGCGGGCTATCCGGTGGGCAGCTGCTTCAGCTTTCTGCCTCTCACGATCTAGTTTTGCCTGTGCCCGCGCCCGCCGTCGCGCATCTAGTTCTTGAGCTTTGAGTAGCTTTCTCTCCTCTCTAGCTTTAACCGCGATAGCTTTTTGGCGTTGTAACTCCTCATGATCGCGCTGTTTCTGCTCATATTGGCGGCGAGCTTCTCGCACCTTCCGTGGAGACCAGAAAGTAGCTCCACCATGATAATCGTCAGACAGCTCGAGCGTACCAGGCTGGATACGCTCCTTGCGCTGTCTCTCATCGATGAGAGCTGCCCGGAGCTGCTCGTTTTCTCGTTGAAGAAACGC